GCAGGCCAATGAGTAAGCTTTAGACCTGCAGACTGGCATCTTCTCCAGTTCTGTAATCAGCGTGTTCTTCATGCTGCCAAGACATTCCACTATCAGTTCGACAAGGTGCATACGGTAGCAGGGAGATTGACCTCGAACAATAGATCTTGGTATTTCGATCTCTTTTTCTCCTCCTTGCGGGAGATATTCCTCTCTGATGGGCTGGAGACCTCGATCACAAAGATTTCCTTGGCAACCACATCAAATAGAGTAATGTCCGGCTTCGTTGCAGTGAGTTGTCTGGTCTTGGAGTGAGCATGATTCCAATAGATCTTAACATTTGGATGCTCTACCACTGACCCCACTTTTGCAGGAACCCATGGGATCGTAGGATCTTTGTTGATCCCATAAGCGTGCCTCGGATGATAATAAAGCACGCGAAGAACGTTGTTGTTATTATTATTACCATTATTATTAAATACTTATATTGCGCGGCAGAGAAGGCTTTAAAATGGGGTTTTCTGCTCCCTCTCTAGTCCAATCGAGGATGAAAGACTAATGAGATGTTATTTGTGTCCAAAAATACGCAGGACATACAGGATGAGCCATATCTCATGCAAATTTCGATATAGGCTAAAAGAGCTCAAGAGAGTCCTCCCATTCTGTTATCGGGCCATTTATTCCAACCAACCTGTATGTATGCGTGAACAAAATGTCAATATCGTGCTGCTTGCTTTCCGTCAAGGACACCTTGAAGTTGAAGCATGCGGCTGTGTTCGAGTTGTTCCAGAATGGGCAAAACCCAAGGAACACCTTTCGGCATCTCGAGTCCAGTGGTTAAAAGCGAGATTTTGTTTATCGTGCTCTCAAGCGTTACCCTGAGACTGGAGATGTCAGCGACAGTAAGCATACCTGCCGACCGCGTTCCGTTCGCACGCCGAAGCTTGTCGAGAATGTGGAGGGGCGGATCTATCGAAACTCTCGGCATTCGGGCCGATTATTGCGATCGAGATGGATACCTCGCACACGATACACGGCGAGTGTCGAAAGAGGATCTCGGATTGAAGCCCTTGAAGATGCGAAAGAGTCAAATGCTCGACCGACAGACCGAGCATGCCAGAAAGGAATGTCTGGATCTGCTTTGACGGTTCACCCCTGACAAAGTGGATAGCATCCTGTTCTCTCTTGAGAAGCTCTTCGATGTGGAAGCGAAGTGGAATACCCAAAATGACAGGGTCTATGGAAAACATGTCGAGGAATTGACTGAGGGTGTGAATAAGATGCAGAGGTCACATCGTCCAGTGTCGGTGATGGTTTGGACTGGAGTGTCCGTCAGGGGCAAGACTTTCCTGTTCTTTGTGAATTGAGGGGTTTAAATTCGAAAAGAGAACCATGTGACAGACATTCTTGAGCCTCGTGTGCACCCCCCCCCCCCCGACCCTTGATTTATTAAAAAACGAAGAGTTCCAGCAGGATTCAGCACCTGCCCACAATACCCGCATGACTCAAAAACTTGTGCCGGAACGATTGGCCGGGCTTCATATCCACTGCCGAATGACCTGCCTCCTCACCCATTCTCAAACCGATGGACCAAGTCCAAGCTGGAGCAGATAGCCAAAGTACCAAATAGATAGATAAATACCAAAATACCAAAATATTGTTTGTTTTTTTTTTGCTTTGACCATCGGAGATGGAGCTTAGTCAACGAGCCAAAGGATTTCAAAATTGGCATGCAACTTTGCCGTCAAGTCTGAAGAGGATAATGTTGCCTGCAACCATACGCAGTTTCAAGTAAGTGGATTGTTCTGCCCGTCCAGTAAGCACAACTTCAGCGTGAGTTTAGCAATCTCGAGAGGGAGAAAGAGTTCCTAAACCGTACTGTAAATGTCTCTATCTAAAAAATCCTGACCATATGTTCAAAGATGAAATTTCACGTAGATGCAGTAGCAAATCGGCATTTGAGCACTCGGCATTGCAACACTGCTACTGGAGATATGAAGAATTTATATTGCAATGGTCAATACTTCTTCGGTACTTAAGCAGGCTCTTCTCGTCGTCCTTTGTAATCCGGAGCCAGCGCCGACGATTTCCTTAATCAGCTGCCATATAAATTAATACGGTTCTTGCGGTACTTTAAATGGACCGATGAGACTTGATTTATATACTGCTGGGGAGATACTGCTGCCTATTTCCTCATTTCCCGCTCGTGCTTTGCGAGAAACCGCCTGGAATCCAGACTATGAACTACCCGTTTTCTGATAAGGAAGTGCCCGTTCAAGCCCCGTAGAGAACTGGATTCATATTACGTAATTGGCGATGAGGGTAGAAAAGGATCCTCCCCCCTGACTCCCACAAATCCGGTATAACATCGGAGGAATAAACGATCCGAGACTCATTTTGCTTTTGCGTGTGACCGCAGATTCGTCGTGCTCTTTCCCTTGAACCACCAGGTAATTTCATCCACAAGTCCTCATTCCTATACTCTAGTTCTAATCCGCAGTCATCGTTAACGTGCGTGGAGGTGGTACATAGTGGAGAAGTACCGTCATTTTGCACTTTAACTACCACTAGGGTACATCGATGTGATGTCTTTTCTGCATTTGTTCTTTAGGTTTTAACGGGTTCTCCCTAACAAGATAATTGATTGGGTTTTCGTTTACAGGGATTACGTATACTTTTCAGGGAGAGAATATCGTCTTTCGCATAGGCAATCGCTTGCCTATTCCTATGCGTAGATTATTTTAATTTTTAATAGGGGAAGGTAAAATGTAGCTAGGGTTATATGAAGTGGGGTCAGCTTGCTCATGAGCTAGTCAGCATTGGTGTTATACTCCATCGCGCACTTTCTTGGCGTGAAATATCCAAATGTCTCGTGCTATTAAAAATTTTACATCTGATACTATCCAGAAATCGGCAAAAAAAATTTGTAAGCATGGTTTTCTTCAACGGGTAACTTTTTCTGTCAAAAATCATTAATTACTTGCAAATGTTCTCAGAGAAAATACAGCACTGTATAAGTGGTGAAATCGAAAGTTTTAACTTCAAAATTGTGTTCATTTGAGTGCTTCACTTTTACCTTCTCTTAATTTGGGATCGGGGGAAAAAATATGAAGCAAGGGATTCGGGGTAGCAGGAAGCATTCAAGGAAGAGAATCCTCTTCTCTTTTTTTTTAATGTGTGTGTTACGGGGCTCACAACAGAATAGGTGAAGTAGGATTTGGAGTACTAGCCTAGTGTGTCTTCTGTCCTGTGTCCGCGTGTGTTGAAAGTGCCTCCTGAGAGGTTTTTCTTCCGAAAGCGAAAAAAAGTAAAATCTGACAATGAAGCTAGCTCGGATTGAGCATGGACACGAGGTAAATAGGAATAGCTTTCCTTATGAGATATTCGGCTTTCACACTCTCGGTAAGGACAAGGGAAAAAGTAGTTATAAATATTTGTAAATAAACATAGCATACTAACAAGAGGTTAAGCCAACTTCGTTTTCTCCCAATGAGGTGTACACGAAATGAAGACCATCTTCTAGACTTCAAACGAAGAAGGTACGGTTCAAAATGTCAGAGACTTAAGGAAAACAGCCTCAGCCAGAAATTACTCCGGAAGACCATGTTTTTTTTTTAATACTCTTTTGCAGATATTTATGAAGCAGTTTAAAGCCGAAGCCTTCAACCCTCTTATAGTTTGTACTCCAAGTTTGTACTCAAGCAAACAATGTTGTGCAAGGTGGAGCTTTTTTTTCTTCTCCAATGTACAATGTTTTTTTTTGTTAAAGGAGCCTGGAAATATGCTTTTTCTTTTTAACCATAATTAACGTCATTATTTCGAAGTGAGGATGCAGATGCTTTAGATTCTCCCAAGGAAGAGTTCAGTTGTACCAAGTAAGTGGAAAAGATACATTTATGCGCTATACTTTACCCAGACCATACTTCACTTTCTCCCACCCTTAGGTGTAAAGTGAAGTAAAAGGAAGTTGCTTGCCTAAAAGCTAGAAGCGTTCCTCGAACCAAAGGAGTTGCAGCTGCAAAGTGATACTTGTTCTCATTCACGGTCGTGTCTGTGGATCATCACTTGAAACTTTCCTAGACGAGCACGAAACGGGCTGAGCCGTGAAGGTTTCAAAAGCATTATCTGATTTATCGCTTAACTTTTAAGTGTAGCCTTAACTTAACTTGTGACTTAACTGTGGCCGGAATTTCTTCCAACACGACGGATAGACGGTTGGTCTAGCGAAACGCCAGATCTATGGAAACATTCAATTACGAAACGACAACATTCGACCGCGAGTGACGTCATGCCTATAAGTGAGCGTATTATTTTGATCGTTACAGATACGTACGATGTTTTGAATGAGAGCTTGGAAATTTTTCTTAATACTCCCCTGCATTCAACGTACCAGGTCGAATGTCGATCGGATAACTCGTTTCACCTTTCCTTCCATTCTTCAACGGTGGACATGGAGTGATTCTGATCTATAAAAAAAAGAAGTAAAGGAGTAAAAGTGCTTATTTTGGCATAGGTAAACGTATTGAAGAACGATTAGACGCATTCTGGTTCCTAATAATTAATAAGTTGATATTGCCTTCTAACATATGAAGCATGCATTGACTTTTGAAATTCGACTTCATTCGATTTTAAATCCATTCAAGTATCCATTCAATTTTTACTGCATTTATTTTGAAGCACTAAATCTTGGGCTTTCAACTGATTTCTCATCCGTTTAAAGGGATCCATTCTCTTAACGCATCGTTTAGAAGGATGACGGTTTGGACGAAAAGGAATGCGTTCCTAACGTAACAACGAGAAGTGAAAGGTTTCCCTGGTTGTTTTTCCTGTATAATACTCTGAATCTGTAGTATGCCCTCTGGCTAGAAGAATCTGGTGATTTTGTCATCGCGAGTATGAGTGCAGGATGCATTGTGATCCCTTCATCATAATTAAAAATCAGGGAGGGTGCATTTCAACACATTCTGCTTCCTGTTCGACTAGACTGGACGACGACACGAATGGGAACTCGTTCGCAATTGATGTACGATGTGACGAGCCCCACGAACTTCCTCACGTCACTATACCGGTTAGACGACACTCGGGATTATGTCATACGAACCCAAAAGAAGTCTTCCTGGATAAAACCGATCCCGTTCGTCGTCTCATCGTTATTCTACTTCCTAGAAATCGAAGCGAGGAGTCCGGTTGCTCCATCGCCATCAATTAGTGAAACGACCTCAGATACCTGCGGATACGACCCCGACACTTTTTATGCAATCGCGTTTAAAAATGTAAACGGTCGAGAAAGTTCCGAGAACTTCCGCCGATGGAGCAATCGGCTCATAGATCTTTAACTGCGGTCTTTCTTATGAGCCCCGAACTCCAATAGTTTGAGATCATCATCCCGATAACTCGGGAAAGACCTTCGCGATTCGTGCCTTGAATCATCGCGTTCAGAGTTCGACTGTTATCGCCAGTTCACTTAACGAGTTTGAGGGGCAGGATTCTTCCCGCGTTTGAGAAAGAGGAATTTTCTTGTCTTGCATCGACCCGGAGAGCTCCGCGTTCCTTCGACAAACGACTTCCAGCTATTTTCATTCAGAATGAGAAAGTAAGATCCCGACCTGCCCTGCACATTAAAGTTTCGACATCCATTGTGTCGAGTCGATGGTGGAATCCCTCCCTCATAGTAAACTCTTTCTTCAAAATGACTCTCTACATCGGCGATTTCGGCCACGTCTCGCTTCGGTTGCGGGACCTTGTCGAGTCGAATAACTGCCAGATGGCTCATCCCGGCTTCGTGTTCCTGTAACGTCGACGGGGTGTCGAGTATCCCAGTGTAGCACGGCGAGAATACAATCTTCTCGCAATACCTGTCTCGTTTTCAAAATCGTGTCCTGCACAGGACCACCAGCATCAACGTCCCGTCGACGTCGTCTATCAAGTATAAACATCGATTGAAATGTTGCGGAATGGAATGTGAGCTCGACCCGTCGACGGAGGTGATCCAATCCGTGATTACAAAACGTGATTACGAGAAGCGAATCGGAAGAAAATCACAATATTCTTCACGGCAAATCACTACCGCGTGCTTACTTGCGTGGTTGCAGTGCTGCACATTTTCTTCGGAGAAAGTCCCAGTTATTGTATTCAGAGAATTCCATTCCCAGACGTGAACGATGTGAATGGGAATGCGAGAAAGGGAAAAGATATGGTATTGGTAAACGGAAGGCACCTGTGCCATATGGAAGACCAGGTGAGATGCACCGAATCCGTTTAAGCTAAACTAATCTGATCTCACAATGGTTCCCTATGGGGATAAGTTTAACCACGATAAACGTATTCCCATAGACGCCCATTATGAAAACGAATCAGTTTAATGTTAAACGGATCTGGTGCATGTATATATTGAGATATAATTTAATATAGTAATAAAAACCTTTATTCCATTTCTTTCATAGGCTTGAGTCATTGCGGGCCATGCTCTGAATCCGTTTCCTTCGTAGGCTTCAGTTTTTCTTTACATTTCAGTTGTGAGGCTGATCGAGCCAATTGGTTCTTAATTGTGGTACTGGCAGACAGGCTGAAGATGGGATGGTTTCTTAAGTATGAGATACTGTCGCGCCTGTTTAAATCTGCAGCTGTAGCATCTGACAACAGAAATAATTCTGGAATGAGTTTGTTTAATCAGACTTGCTGCCTCAACCTCCTGATGACGTTGGCAGCCCGACGATTTTCAAGGATAGGATCTTTCGCTGTCTTTTCTCTTTTCAACTTCCTTAAGCTTTCCCCATATCTGTGAGCTACTTCACTATAACTTGGCATTTAGACTTTGGTCTTTCTGTTTTATGCCTCTGGGATCAGAAGCTGAGCCTTTTTTGTCTGCTGCCTGAGAGTGGTTTCGGCCAGAATCAGCACCATCGAGTAACTTCTCTTTATTTTGTCTGTGCAAAAATATTGACGACGTTGAAAAAGTATTCAGATTTCAACATACATCATGTCGAGAGAAAAACATGGAATGAATGCCTTGTGGGGTCGAATCGACGTCTGCCGGTCGTTCCCTTTCGCTTTTGATGGTCGGTAAAAATCCCATCGAAGTTGTCGGTTTCCCATCAGATTCACAATTATTGTCAACTCGATCTGCATCCTCTTTGTCCGAAACGAACGCAGTCATTCTATAAATGGACATATTTGGCTTTATTCTTCCAGGATGAAGGCTTTATGGAGGATGGTCGTTCTCGGCCTCTTCGTCTTGGCCGTTACAGCCGAAGAGGAAAAAGTGGAAGTCGTGAAAGGCGTGGAAGAAAGTCCGGCAGCTCTCAAACCGACTCTGGAAGACGCGGTGAAAGAGTTGGTGGATCGAGTTCCCAGGCAATCTCACGGGCGATTACGATCACAGAGTAGCCGAGACGATTTTCGCCGAAGTAATTTCCTTTTCTCGTGGATCGATACGATGTTTCACCGTAGGCTGAGAATCGAGCATAGAACCAGCGCTAAAGTAATCGCAGAATGCAGAATCTCACCCATTCGTCGGGTTTTTGGCTTTCGCATGCAGACATAAGGGTAAAATGCCGAGAGTAGGAGAGAAGCAGACATCTACGCTGTAGGCCTCAACTCATCTCGTCTCGATTCTCTGGTATCGACAGGCATTATCTCTCGACGGTTCGGTACGATACCAGAATGCGAATAATCTTTTCGCGAAGATCGATATCTCACATGACGTCATTTGACGTCATCGTACATACGTACGAAGTCATCGTTTTTAGAATCTTCAAGATGGGTCACACGAATGATATCGGTTGCGACTTGGACCCTCATGATCCAAAAATCATTTTCGTGCGCTTTTCTTCGAGTGACGTCCGTCTCAGCCTCACGGTGGAATCCTGTACCGATAGAATCTTCGTTTGCTTCGTTGTCGGCACCACCCCGACTCGACTCTCCTCATATCCGTGTTCCCTGCATCGTTTTGCAGGCAGAAGCCGCGACGACAGCGACGAGGGACACTGGAGGGATAGGAGCGAAAGAAGAGAAAGCCGCAACCGAGGTATGCCCATACCGTTACCGGTATCGTAAAATTGTTACCTTGACAAGACGACGATAGGGGACGATGGCACGGCATTCGAATGGTCGTCACGAAACCGAGACGGCGTCGAACACGTGCTCGACCGACGACTCGTTCCGACAGACGGACGGAGATTTTCTCATTTACCCGAATGCGGCGCTAGAGGTGAGATGTCATCATAAATTTCATCGTTGAACTTTCTCTCTGTTATTATTAAAAGTTCATTGGACATGTACCCATCAACACATCGAAAGGGATGAAATCGATCTCCTCGGTTTCGATTAGACGCAGCGCTGAAAGAAAAACAGTGAAAGGAATTTATGGGAAAGGTCGTGTTCCTAGTTTATTTTTAGGTTTTTCTATTTTTTCGATGAAATTCACCAACGTACAGAGGAACGGAACCGGAAGGAACATAATTATTCCTTGGAAAAGAGTGAAACAAAAGTGAAATCGCGGAATGAAAAAGAAAAAGGAAGACAAAGAAATAACGACTTGGTAACGACTCGTACAGGACGAAACATGGAACGAAAGAGTATTCTGCGAAATCGTATCCGTAAGAAAGAGCGAATATGACAAATGGAGCCAGGGGAAATCACAATCCAGCATTCGTTTCGTTTCACCCGCTCTCGTCAAATTTATACGTTCGATAAAAGTTTTTTTTTCACGCGAATTTCTGTAAACGAATTCTGTTCGTGTCTGACCCTAATGCGTCTGCTTACTGAGTGTGACTGGAACTGACTTAAGCGACATCTCTTTGGTTGGCTTACGACGAAAGTGGGATGAGACCGACCCTCGAACGAGACGACATTATCGGTTACCTCTCCTTTTATGGGAAAAGAAGATGGACTAAAAAAGGCAATATCACTTTCTCACTACACTCACGGCTCCCCGTGTGACTTTGCGATTCCAGGGAGCAGGGACAGCCGGGAAAGCCGGGAAAGTCGGGAAGATCGGTTCCGGTCTTCGGATTTCCGTTCTCGCTCCCGTTCCCGTTCCCGTGACATAGACGACTCGTCCTTGCGTTCCTCGACACGATCGAGCGAGGAAGAGCCGGTACCTCGCATTCAAGTCCCTCTTCCCAAGGCAACCGATAAGCAGCAAGACCGCTCTAAGGAATCGGAATCCAGTGAACCTGACGGATTCTTCCAACAAGCAGGTGAGCCGACTCGCTCCGAGACGATCGAGAAAGAGACTTTTGGTCCCGAATGCGTGAGATTCCAACCGACGACCTCGTGTCTGTTGCAGACTCTTCCTTCTCCAAGGAGTCTGAGTCTGACGAAAACGAAAAGGAAAAGAACATTTTCAACATGAAGCTCTACAACAACTTCGGAGTCGGAAAGAAGCTGGACCTCCTCGGGATGAGCGTGGAGACGGGGCTTCACCACAGGCAGAAGGACAAGTTCCACATCTCTCGAAACCGAACGCCGATCGAGCAGTTCATCAAGCGCCTCATTGGACGAGCTGGGAACATCCTCGGTACTCTGGGGAACATCGGTCGCATGGTCTTTGGATTCCTGCCGGGCGTCGACGAGGACAACAGCTCCAGCTCGGAACGAAGTAAGTTTTCTCGCACTTTTGCCCTTTTCGGGTTCGTAGCCGAAAAATGTTCTTCGATGGGACTTCGACAATTATGGAGAGGCTAAGTATCGTTCGTAACTTCTGCTTGCCGCTGAGTCTGTCTCAGCCAGGTTCATTCAGCCAAATTCTCATTTCTTGCAGAAATATTCTCTCCGCATTCACAACGACTGTGTTCTTCAAGCATAAGCAACCGCAAGCGGTCCGTTTTGGAAATAAAAATTTAGTTAGAAAAGGAGGGGGGGGGGGAAATTTTGCCAATCTCCCCCTCCTCCTTCCATGGTTACGTAACTTCCCCTTCCCCATTCCTCGTCTTGCCGGATGGTAGATCTATATGAGACTGGACTGTGGTTCGGCAGGAAAGAGATCGGTAGATGATGCCGCAGAGACAGACGAGTCAGAGGAAAAGGATCTACAGTGCCTTTACAAGGGAATCTGCACTTTCATGGCCTCCAGCGACGAAGACCTGAAGATCCTCGGGGGTCCCTTGTATCCCTTCATCAAGAAACTCATCAGGTGAGACACTCTCATCCGTTCCCGCAACGTTCGAATCTTGTGGCAGGCTCATCGACTAGCGCGAAACGAAACGCAAAAGCAGCGAAGTCCACGATGAACGGCAGATGTACGGCTTTCAAAAGCATGCGCGTTTCCTTTAGAAAACCTCCCCATACCCCACTGAGGGAAACCTTTCCCCTTTTTCTTGCAGAGCGTCGCGTCTGTCGTCAGACTTGGAGAAACCCAAGGTCCTGGGCCTGAAAGCGAAGAACTTGAAGATTTGCGATTCGACATTTGTGGGATGCCCAACGACTCAGTCCCATCTGCGAAATTCCATCGCTCACGTCGTCGTCAACGAAATCGAAAACATCATCTTCCCAGGCATCAGCCTCAGAGAGATCGACGAAAAATAAGAACCTTTTGCGCTTCCCAGGTAGCACACGCCCTTGACCCAACATCGGCACGTGATCGGCACGACTAGTTCTGCATCGGCACCGACGACCGTTATCGATCCTCGTCGGGTCGTCATCGTTTCGTCGATCGTCGGTGTGAAGCCATCGACCCGATGGTGGCTGAGCCCACCGTTGCCCGATCGGTGCCCGACGACGTTGAACCGACAACGGCCCATTACGGATGAGGAATCGGCATCCCACCTCCGGGGCGGTTCGTGGTACATTTAGTCAACCTTGGTGGGTGCTTTTCCCGTGCAGGAATTTGTATCGACGTCGCGTTTTCGATATTTCTCTTCCTCCCCAAGAAAAGCTAACCCACGGTTTCTTCCGACTCGGGACGTGTAAAATCATGATTAATCCGTACCACCGAACCGAGACGTCCTCTGAAATCAGACAACCTGATGGAAACTTGCACGACCGAAGTGCGAGAGGAAAATCTGCATCTAGCTGTGATCATCGGGGGGAAACTAGGCCCATGGACGCTCCAGCATTCACCTTCTCGAGCCATCGATGACCCGTGATCCAAGATCGAGCCGGTCGTAAGAACCGGTGTCGTGCCGAGCGTGAGAGCCGATGTTGGCCCATCCATCTTGTGCTACCTGGATTGCCACGTGTGCGCAAAATGCACGAATCGGGAAAGTTTATTACTTCCCGATGCGATGTAATTCCGGAAATATATATATGTCGTGTGAATGCGAGCGGTTGACATTTCACGAAAACGAATGAAGGCCATTATAAGGCGTACGAACCGGATTTACCCATTCATTTCGTCGAGGGCGGCATGCCGTACGGTGATGTGCTAGACGACATTCGTCCGTCGGGTTCGAAGATGGCAATCCCGTCACGGATTTCCATCTTCCGATTCCCGACCTTCGAGATCGTTCTACCATTCCGACGACGCGAGGTGTATTCGAGAAGCAGAGGCGTGAGATGTCCTCGACGTCGTAGAGTCCCAGACGAAGTCCAGCCACAGTTTCTCTCCTGAGGAGACTCGCGATCCTCCGTCTTCATTTGCTTTGGGTCAATTAAGTACTCAGGAATTAAGTACTATGGGTTTACCGTCCCACCAAAACCTGGACTTTCTTGAAGGAATCTAGACCTTTCCTCCATCAGATTCTGCTCAGCGATCACCCTTTCTCGTTCCTGATTTGCACGAATTTTGAAATATCCGGCGGTTTGCCTTTTAATTCCAATTCTCGACACTCATTTAATGATCTCCCTGACTTTCCGAGCGAGGATTCTCACGAGATCGGGTTCATTCCCAGAAGAACCTTTGTTTGCTGTTATGCGCAGCAGAATTTCTTACTCCTTTCACCTTTCTGGATTTACTCTCTGCATACTTAAGAGCACTTAGATAAACAATCGTAATAAGGACGCCGCAAGATAAAACCTCAGATTTCTCTTGGGAGAAACTTTCCCCCAAGTCGCAGGAGAGGAATGGGCTCTATTTACTCAGTTACTTAGAACAGTGTTTCCCAAACGGTGTGCCGCGGCACACTGGTGGGCCGCCAGTAAGGCTTAAGTGTGCCGTGAGATTTCAGAGTTGACAAAAAAAACTAAAAAACTTAAACTAAAAAAAAAATTAAAAACAAGAGGGAACGCCATCTTTCAGTAGAAACGAGCTGAGAGTAGCACTATCACGCCTCGTATCAAACTGCTGTGTTCAGCGAAGCAAGCACAAGTTTCCCATTGAAAGTAAGTAAATGGCTAGGTGTGCCGTGGAAAGTTCAAGTGTCCTTATGTGTGCCGCAAATGAAAAAAGTTTGGGGACCACTGGCTTAGAAGTATAAGATTCTGGTTTCATCGCATCGAGCACCCGCGTAACACGAAGCCTCAGCAGTAAATAATGAACACCGAGAATTGGGACCCGACTCACGAAGATCAGAAAGCTGAGGCAGTTTTCATCACCCCATGCAGCATTCATGGTCTCGTAGTCGTCAGACGTCACACTCCATCTGACCGATTTAGACCGAACTATTAATTCGAAAATGCAGTCTAGGTGTCGCCTGTCGATTGCACGGTGCTGCTTCTTTTTAACCCTTTCAGACCTGAATTAAGGCCGCTATCAGAATAATATCATTTTTTGCATTTTGGAGCTTTTTCGTGTCTGTAATTGAAATTGTCATGCTTTATATGTAGTTTTCATATTTTGTATAAATTTACCATATCATACCATATATTTATTATTAAACATTTAATTAAATAACTGAAGATGACTATACTAATGGGTGAATAAAGGCCTCTGATAGAACTGAGTCGTTCATAATTGCGCTCATTGTAGCGTAATATGGAGCGCAAAGTAACGAGAATCCTAAGAAATTGCCATAGACACAATGTAAATGCAATGTCCATTGGAATGGACGCCAGGTCTGAAAGGGTTAATTTACAGTAGTGGGCAATTTTCGGGTGAATGAAGCGAAAATGCTTCCGGATGAGCTTTTGGATGGATGGCTCTGGGTTTTTTTTTTTCAACCGCGATTCCTGACTATTCGAGAGAAGAAACTTTCAGAGCAAGGAAATATTTGGGTCGACTGAGTCATGCTCGTGCTTCGAGTGACAGACGCAGCAGAGAGTGTTTGCGGTTCCATGTCACTCCTACAACAACAAGTGAAAATTGGTGTGAGAAACATTTATGGGTTTTTTTTCCCGGGAAGGAGAAACGAGGGCTGCCTCTGACTGTGAAGGTCCTTCAGTTTCATCGCACCCAGAGAGGAACACGTTCAGAGAGGGACGTGCTTCAAGCGCTCCCTGCCTTCGTCTATGGGGGAAAGTTTCAGAGTGGCGTTCCGACTCGATTCTTAAAGACATCTCTCTTTGCCAGTCCATGCTTACGTGGTGGTTCAAAGAAAGATGCTCCTATCGATGTAATTATGATGCATGACAGCTATGAAACAAAAGCAGTGTTCTACATGTAATTCATAATGTCACTTCCTTATAGCACCTCAAATGAGAAAATCAACATACCCATTCTATTTAATTGTAGCTCGCAATTGAGCACGCCGCAGTCTTATTAGAAGCTGCAACGAGCGGAGGGACTTGGCTCGCCAAGAAGCAAAAATTTTGTTTGTTTTTTTTTTCAAATCCTCGGCGCTCTGGGCATCGGTACACTTTCTTTCTCTTTCAACTCTCTCAGCACACCCATAAAATGTATTCAACAGAGTTTGGATTGGGACTCTTGAGTGGTGACACGGTGGGTTCAATCATATCTGGCGTTTCGTACGGTAGCATACAACTTGAGCAACTAAACAGCTGCTCGAGGTGTCTGGTATGGTGCACCATACGATGCATCTGAAATATCTGGATAAACACCTTGCGACAAAAGAGCTTGCAACAGCAATCCAGACTAAGCTGCTTACTTTTTAAGGGGTGCGTCGCAGGAAAAATTCCATCGAAGTATTCAAGAAGCGAAAAGAGTTATTTTGGATCGTTGGGAAGGGAAGGTCTCCCTCCGCACGTTGCAGGGAGAAATCTGTTTCGACTGTCGACCACCATCGGCTAGAACGGCGGGGTTTCTCGAATTTCTCCTTTGATGAAAAATAAAGAAGTTTTGCAGGGTGTCCCGAAAGTAGCGTTGGGATTTGATTGTGCATTACCAGAAAATGGAGCCAAGTAGAATAAAGTTCGTATGCTTTGAGTCTTTCCTACAGGGATGAAGGGAACCGTGATCCGTGCACGCGAATGTTGCCTGCGAGATAGAAGACAAGTGCAAGGCATTATTTTTCAGGTGTATTGCATGCGAAAATATTCCTCGATGACTGTCATGTAACTCCTGACACTCGAGAGTATCGCAATCGTATTCAGTTTATTCTACTTCGCTTTGTTTTTTGGTGAACCATTAATACCTCTTCACTACTTTTGGGACATCGTGTTTTTCGTGGAGGACAGTTTTTGTTGCACAGCTGCCGCTGCTATGCGTCATAACCGTACCTAAATATGCTTCATTTTTTCTGAGCCATCTTGTACATTGAGGTGCACGACCCCCATAGTCACCTTGCTTAGACCCTTTCCGGAGCCTTTCTCTCCACCCCCCCCCCCCCCCCTCCGCAAAAACTAACTCACCTATCGATCGCCTGCTACTATGAAATCGCAGAAATCAGGGGATCATGATTTGCAAATACCTTCTTTCTGGATCGTTCCATTTCCAAGAGATGGAAACCTATGCCTCGAGCCTCGAGGAAGAAACGCCGAGATTCAAGCATGATAACGAAATTCAACTGATGAGTCGACACAGACCTGAATTTCGTTGGATTGGATATCTTGCAGTTCTGTTTTAAGAATGGGGCGGTAAACAGTAACAGAGCTTATACCTTTAAAATAAATGTAAAAATCTCCTGTTTAGAGAATGTGCATGGGGTTTTCTTTTCCCTCAAATTCTGCGGAATTTCACGCCAAGGTGGCGTGAAATGCGTTCCGTCGACAAACTCGCCGCATCTTCTTTGTTTCCGTTTGCAAGGCATGAAGATTTTTGCAGGAGTCTCGGCAGAACGGGAGTTGAAAGACGCATGGGTCCGTGCCACCTTTTCGAACGCTCAGCTTTTTTTTTGTTGGAATGGTATATCATGCACAGCTAAGTAGAAACGTAGAAGGAGAGGTAAAATGTGAAACGCACATATTCGTGTCCTTTGGGTCCTCATACGTACCTTTTTGAGTGCGCGGTCCAGACATTTACATCGGTACGTTGCAGAAGCATATTGTACTCAAAAGACGCACAAGATGGCGCTTATGTTCCCCCGAACATTCCATCCCAAGTCTGGTCGCACCGGACTTTAGGAGATGAGTTTTTTTCCCTTTCCCTCTTCTTTGTTCATCAGGATACTTGTAAAATAATATTCGGTAAAACCATAGTAGCATGTTTCAATGGCAACCAACGATTCTGGAAAATTATGAACGCTGGAGTTTTGCACGAGGACAGAGAAGTGTAAAACCGACAGGTTAGGAGTTCTGAGAGTCCCCAAGAATCA